ACGTGTGTTACAGCAGGTCAGAAAAGGGATCCAGAAACAGTCCCTGAAATATGGGGTGAGGAGAAGAGCTCGGCACTTGCTAGTCATCCAACTTGGCTTTTTCCAAGGAAAATCACTGCCTGCAAAAAGGATTTTTGTTTGTTTCCTTTAGATTAAGGCTGGGACAAAAGTCAGTCACGAGAGCTGCGGAGAAACAATTTGCTTAGGGAAAGGGTTTCCCAGTTTCTGCAAGCCCAGCGTTCCCATTCCACCCACTTACATTCCTGGATCAAGAGCAAACAAGATCACATCCGCAGGCCAATCGGCGGTTACCCAGGTCGACATGCAGGCGACACAGCAAACTGCTGAAGGAAAATTACTTACACGGAAAAATCGCGTTCGGAAAAGTTATGCACTCATCGCCACCGCCATTTACATCAGGCCTCGTTAAGAAGTATTTTATCCCTTAAAATCATTTGCATAATTGCCGCAATCAAAGGCACTACTTTACAGTAATAACTTTAATGGCAGATTTTTCCTTAAACATTCTTTTTAAAAGGTACCTCCCAAGCTGGGTGCAAAAATAAAGAAAAGGTGACACTCGGGAGACGCCTGGTGTGAAGAGGGACCGTGTTTCCTTTGTTTTGGGCTTGCTTTGTGGAGGACCATCCCACGGAAGGTAGAAGAGCACAACCAAGCAGAAATAAAGCATCCCAGAACCTGCCACTCGCCCCCATCCCGGTGGACACACCAGCAGCTACCTTGCTGTATCCAAACAGTTTTCATATTCACTATCTGTAATGTTATTTATGGGGATGGACACACCAGCAGCTACCTTGCTGTATCCAAACAATTCTCATATTCACTATCTGCAATGTTATTATGGGGGAATCTGGCTCCTTGCCAGGCCTTGCAAATTAGAGTCCACGTCTCACTCTTCAACTCTCCTTCCCGGATTACAGGTCGGCAGCAGCAACTCCAAAGGCCGACAGGAGCACGGAGCAGCCCGAGCCTGGGGCCGTATCGTTAACAGGTTGACAGCCGTTTCAGCAGTTTGACAACAACGCAAACCACCGGCCCGGCATCAAACGGGGCCGGCGGGCTCTGCATTATTTCATGCTCCTAGTTCGGTGGTTGCTGAAATCCCAGAGCAGGCAAGGTACTGCACTTAAGGAAAGCAGGATGAGAAGCCTCGTCTCCAAAGACCTTCTGGTTTAAGGGAGGACGCTCCAACAGCAGGTTAGTGGAGAAGCCAGCTGGAATTTCACCCTCCTGCTCTCGTGGAGAGCCTCAGGTCTGGCTGGCTTCTCCACATGGACATCTTCACGTCCACCCTTAGTGCTCCTCTGGCAACACAGCTGCATCCCAACGCCACAACATCCTCCCCAGAGCCCAAGTGGGGGCATCTTGGGGCTGCCCAAGGGGACTCCAAGCCTGATACCCAGGAAGCTCTTCCAGCTGGATTTTGGGGGTCACTTCTACCCAATTTTGGTTCTCAACCAAGTCAGGCCTGGATAAGGGCACCCTGCCCCTTAACGCAGCTCTAATTACATTAAACCAAAATGCTTTCGTGAACACGGGGAGAGGCCGGGGAGGGAATCAGACAAGCTATAAATTAAGCCGGAGGATATGAATACCATGCAGGCTGCAGTGCTAGGGTTAACGCGGGTCTGGAAGCAGTTTAGTGCAAACCTGGCGTGGCTAGAGGCCAGCTCCGAGTTTAGTTGCTTTGGGCTAATCGTTTCCTTCAGGCAGGCTACTCCAGCACACTAATAGGTTTTAATAAAAACTTCCAATTGGGCCAGTAAACCCCTCATTAAGCTGTTTTTAAAGCATGAATTTAAGAGCGGCGAGGGTAAAAGGTCACGAGGAGTATTTAATTCACAACGGCTGGCAAAAGGTGCTGTTGTGATTGAAAACACCAGAGTTCAAGTGTCCAGGGCCACATAAACATCCGACTCTGTCACTAGACCTGGTTAAGTGACAGCTTGAAAAATAGATTTAATAAGACAGAGAGAAAAGTTTCCCACTCTTACACGAGCAATAGGAACACCAGATCACAATATGAGCCAGGGAAAGGAATGGCCGTAATCCAGTCCCTCCCATCCCGGGCCAGCGGAGGAGGAATATCGGGTATGGCCATATGGGTGTTCCAGCCCCGCTGCGATTCCCAGGGCCTTGCTGCTCCTGGGGCACGAGGTCCCCCAAAGAGCACGGACTGTGTCCCCCATGCCTCATGCTCAGCTGAAGGAGCAGATCCCACCCCGGGCTGCTCAATCCCTGCGTGGTACCACGCAAACACCACAAACCTTCCTCCAGTGACCACTTGGACGCTCGGGCAACCTCAGGGTGCAGCAGAAGCAACAAACTGCTCAGTTTGGGGCTCAGTTCAACCTTGTCATCCCCATCTCTTACCGTTCTGCGGGTTACTATTGATCTCTGGAACTCCACCAGTGAGSTTTGACCTTCGTCTTTTCTGCTCAGGCCCATTTTCTTCCATGACCAGAGCACGAGTGTGAAAGCTCTGCCCCTGCCTCCACCACCCACACTCACAAAGGAAAAACATCTCAGCCTTGAACAGCACCAGCCAGAACCCCAGCTGTGCACTGCACCACTTCATTTTCTGTCAAGGCACATCTAAAATTCAAGATCCCTGAAGACCTTTTAAAAGAAAATCCTCCCCGGAACAATTTGCATTGAAGTAAAGAGTGAGGATTTAACAAGTAATGGAGAATTATGTACATTTGGCTCTCAACTTTTTATTCTACTTCTAATCAAAACATGGTTCATCTTAACTTCTGAGATAATAGATGCAGTACAAAATTTGGGGGCAAGCCTAGGTATGAACTAATTTATTTGCAATTTCCATGTTTATGAATAATGGAAAAGCCGCAAGTTTTACTCCATACTTGGTGAACTTCTAATTGTCATCTTTCCCTACAGAAATTAACAACAAGGTCAATGTGTGCTTCAGCACCACAGGCTCACTGAAACGCTGACTCTCGGGCCAAATTTACATCTAAATAACAATAAATAAAGCCGAGAAGTGATTACAACCCAGCTAATTTCCGAGCAGCTCCAATTCCCAGGCCCGTGGCGGGATCTGCATTGCCGAGCACCTCCTCACCTGGTCAAGATAAGCAGTCCAGCGTGGGCCCGTGTTCTGCATGGCGAGAGCCGCCGCGTGGCTGCTCCGCAGCCCATTCCCCCAAGCGAGGGGTGTTTTTAATAACTGTTACCTGACAGCAGCAAGAGCAAAGAGCAAAACCTGTGGCAATACCCGTTGATCCCATTTGGCCTAACAGCTTGTTGTTATTTCCAGGCTCTGGAGTTCTTTAAAATTCATGGGGACAGCCTGGAGTTTTAATAGAGGCTACCAAAACCCATCCTAAAACGTCTCAAAAAAAGCACACTTCCTGGAGGGGAATAGGAAACAGTCAGCACTTACAAAGATCTCCCCGGGAACGTTTCTTAAGATCCTTCTTTGAAGTAGATGCTACCAAAGCCTAAGGCTTCCAGAGCTCAGCAATATTTAATGTACTTCCACGGCAATGGATGACAATGTTGTTGTTTCAGCTATATTATAACAAAAATATTGTGGTTTTCCTGTATTCTAACAAAAGTAGCTTAAGATTTACATCTCATTCATCTTATTCAGAAATAGCACTTCAGCCAAAAACAAGGAAGGGAGAGACCCTACTGCGAACAAAGGGCTTCACTAACCCTCGTAGGGTGGCTACCCAGGCAGGACATGAGGAAAGGGGAAGAGAGGAAGACAATTGGGGAAAGCACTTTTTTTTCTCTTACAAGCACGGATGAAAGCACAGCACCCACACAGGAGATGAATGCCTGCAGTTCAAGCTAAGGTGGGCGTCCCCACAGGCTTCACAAAAGCGCGTATTCATGTCGCAAGGTCCAGCTGGTTAAAATAAAGATCCACATCAGCCCTGGAAATGGTATCAGAAATACCCAGGGGCAGAAGCCGTCCCGCAGCCTCCTGGGCCTCTCCAAGGCAAAGCATCTCCTCAGCGATGCCCAACGCTCCGCAGTGCTCAGGCCACTCACAGCCTGTTCAGGTGATGAATCAGTAAACAAGGAGGGTGCTATTCCACGCAGGAGGGGAGGAATATTTGGTTATCACTTCTGCAGGTCTCAGTAGTGCACAGACACAAACAGCTTTAACTTTTTAATGCCTTAGGCTAAATTAATTTCTGTTTGTGGCTGGTGAGCGGCAGCTCGGGAACACGGCTCCATCCCTCATGTCCACAGCTCTCCTCTCCACCCTGCCCTTCAGCACAGTGAGCACCACGCTGGAAGGCTGATTACGTAGCGCTGCAAAACAGGCTGCTTTAGGACATTGTGCCATGCCAGCACTTCCCAGAAAGTCAAATATATACTAGTAGTTTTCCTCATATTTTTACTAAGAGGAACAAGATTTCTACTGGGACTTCTAAGTTTCCATTTGGACATCTGACTGTGGGCAGGAATATTTAGCGCTGGAACAAAAACAAATCTGTGCAAAGCAGTGTAGCAAATATTAATCCATCTCCCAGACCTCTGRGGGAATAATACCTGAACCGCACGCCAGCGGGAGAACAAGTGAAATGAATATGAGGTCCTTGATGTTAATACAAATCGCTGGTGGAAATGGAATTAGAGTTTGGGACCTACYGATTCCCCCCTCACAGGAATTGCCTTTTAGGCCCTGCTTAACTTTATAATCCCACGCTTATTTAACTGTTCATTCCCAATGTCTTCCCTCACCCCCAAACGATGCTGGTGGTTACAGGACCTTCCACCAAGGTTCTGTAGGTCTCAATTTACACATTTCATCCCAGTTTTCCTTTCCTTAAGGACATGCAGGTGGAAAGAAATTCAATGAAAGATAAGAGAACAGAGACAACTGTAGCTTAAATGTTGGAGAGAGAAAGGAAGAGAAAGCTAGAGAAATGTAAAAACTACATACTCACAASTGCACCAATAAATTACTACTGCAGATTTCCGCTTTTACATTCACTTACCAAAGGAATACCTGCAAAACAAAATAGAAAGCAAAGATATTAAAAYGTCAGTTGACCAGTCTCTTGGACATGACTCATAACTTTATTTCAAATCTATTTCCAAACACAACTCTCAGAGCAAAAACGTTACCTAAACCAATTAGCTACGTAAAATGCAATTCAAAAGTGCTAATSGCCAAAATTGCTGCTCGAGGCGTCCCGCTCACTAGAAGTGTAAGACAAGCAAAGCCACCCCTTTTGGGGAGAATTAAATCATTTTAGCATCAAAGATATGAAAGCAGCACACCCAAAAGAAACAGCACAACCAGGGAACGGGTCCAGTCTCCTATCGCAAGGGAAGGCATTTCCCAACACTTGCCTTCACCGGGAACACTGGCTTTTCTGGGAAGCTCTTGGGCTTCCTCCTTCCCGCGGGCGGCTCCTGCGCGCAGCCCCTTTGCTGGGCACCCCAAACCCTGCGGGAACGCACGCAGTCTCTTCTCCCTGTGCCTGAACCAAACCTCATTTTCCCACCCACTGTTTTAATACAGAAAAGGCCACTTATTTAGCACCACTGCAGGCTGCTGGTTGAGGAGCGGGTACTGGGTTCCAGGCAAACTTTGGTGTCCAAGGGAACCCTGTTTCACGTGCACCTTCGCCAAGGTTGACCTCTCCTAATGGATGTTTTCCAGTGGAGTTTCCTTTAGCCTTAGCTACAACCATGCGATTTCACGCAAGATTTCCAGCTCCTATTGCAAGCAAAGCCTATAACCGATCACGGTTCAATACACTCCTCTTTTCCAACGCCTTGCACAAGTGCCCAGATAACTTCAAACTCCCCAGGTCCACCTATTTTCCTAAGAAAATCGGTGTTCCCTGGAAATCTGCTCTGATACCTCCTGCTGCAGTGCAAAGCTGATGCTCCACCAGCACAAGTCTGATTGATTTTACCTGTTTTATAAACGAGTGAGAATCAGAGCTTTATTATCTGCACTATATTGCATTACACTAAAAAACAAAGCCAGACAACAAGATTTCCCCCCAAAAGAAACCAAAAAAACCTTCTCAAGGTGCTCAGAGAGTCTCCGTCACTGACAACCTCCCACTGAGGYGTGCGAGTTCTCCCGGTTACAAGAGCTATCAGCCCAAATATTTTACTGCACGTTTAACAACAATCTCATACAAGGCTACTGACGCAGAGAGGCCAATAACTTTAAAACGCACAATAAGTTTTAACATTCTTAATAAAAGCGGCTCTTTATAAAGATATCTGTCATTAAGGGCAACCTAACTTTGCTGTTCTGCACCACAGTTGTGGTGCAGTTAAACATAAACTCGCACGAATTATTGTTATTTCTTGGCAGAAGTAAAGAACCCCCCGAGGCTCATTTAAAACACACACACACAGACACACACCAAATGAGCAATTAATAAAATATTGTATTCTTCTGAGCCACATGAAGCTTTCTGACGTGTGCCTGTTGCTGATTACATCAATGCCGGCTCCATAACTTGTCATGTGCTGACAGGCAAGCACTTGTGAATTTATTTCTCTGAAGAAGCGCGCGATGCAAATGCCAAGGAAACCAAAGCCAATGGCCAGCCCAAATCCATAAAAGCAGCAGGGCTCCTTGCAGGGATTTCGTTTATAGGTACGAGGGGGCAGGTGCCTAATTCCCTTGGACTCCAGAGCGGAGTTTGGAGCCTAATCACCACTTCTCCTTCTCAAAGGCCTTGCTTAGACACAGTAAACAGAAGCTCTTATTAAAAAAAACAATATGCAATTTTTTTTTCTACTGCCTGCCTTGGAGTTTGTTTGAAACATTCCCGAAAGATGACAAGTAAAAATAACACGGATTGGATTTTGTGGGCTTTTTTTTTTTTTTCTTTTGGCAAATTGCAACAGATTTTGCAATTTGCAAACTGCAAYTTTTGATCCGCGCATTGTCAAAAGTGGGGACTGTACAAACTGGAAGTGCATTCTGCTCAGCTTTTGTAAATTAAATAAAAATCATGTGATGTCATTTCGGGTCTCTGGTTGGAGAAACCATGTAATTAGCCACAACTTGTCATTGAAGACCAAGTTTTGTATCGCACTTAGAAATACTCCAAAAATCAGCTGGAAATCATAAACATCAAATATTTGGGTTAAATTGTTGTCATCACATTGTCACGCCAATTAATTGCAGTTCTAGCATGTCTGCGGAAAGCAAAAATTAGAAACGGTAGCAAAACACAGTTGAAGTTGCATTAAACTGCATCACTTGTGATGTGAGCATTTCCCAGCACAGGGCCCGGGATGGAGCTTGGCAGATAATGCCGGGGCTGATGCCTGGGAAGCCGGGAAGCAGATAAACCCACCAGGGATGCCGGGAGCAGAGGCGAGCAGGAATGCAGCATTCCCGGGGCTGGAGCCCCGGGCCTGTGGCACGAGCGCTTGCTGCAGGGTGCAAGGCGGGCGCAGGGACTCGCATCCTCGCTCGAGCTCCTAGGAAAGCGCATCTGCATCCGCAGCCCCGCGCAGCCCTGGGTATCCTCTGCACAGAGCAAAATCCAGGAGACAGCTCTCATCTCCGYGACAAACCTCCCTCATTCCCTGGGCTGGACTACCTTGGATGGCAAAGGAGATAGTTGGGCAGCACCGACGCGTTTTCTGCTCTCCAGCAAGGTCATGCTTGGATAAGGTTAATGCCTGAATGAGGTTCCCACAGCGGCATTGCTCCCGAGCGGCGCTGTAGCRAGGGGCCCCTTCCCGCATGGCACAACCCGTGTCCTCCTAACACGGTCATGGATAGGAGAGAGGGGCAGGGAGCCTCCCAAGCAGAGAGCAGCACCTCAGAACGCAGGTGGGAATTATACAGATACACAATTAACGGAGCCAAGAGTTTCCTTCCGGAATTCCAGTGACAGGGAAGGCTGCATGTGCTCCTGCCCTAGGTCTGGGCATTTAATTGAGGGAACCAGAAAGGAATGAACCCCGCAAGCAAGGAAAACAAGGCTGGAAGGAGCATGAAAAAGCAGCATGGTCCATCCAGCCACCACAAGACAGGGACGACTGAGCAAGAATCACTGCGGCGCCTGTCGAGGCAGTGATGGAGAGCGCACCTCCGCCTCCAGCTTCCCCGGATTTGCACTTCATGTCTAACATCTCCTTTCCCACCAGGTAAAACCACTGCTCCTGTCCCATCCATGGGGAGATGGCGAGCACGGAAAACAGCTTTTTCCACCCCTCCTGCAGCTTTCACGCACTGCAAGATCATTAACCCTCTTCCCAGCTTCTCCTCCCTCTCAACTAACCCAGCAGAGCCTGTTCTGCACCTCTGCCGAGGGCTGGGGCTTCGGGAGCCCAACATGGGGCCACATCCACTTCAAGCACAAAGGTGCAACCAGAAGCGAGGTGACAAAGTGGCTGTCACCCCCTGGCTCCGAGCAGACCAAGCCTCCCACTGCTGCCTTGCACACGAGGCTCCTTTTGAAAAGCTCCTGCCTTAGACACCTGAAAGTTCATTTGGTGAACCACAATATACAAACCAAATTAAAGCTCTAAACGCGTTAGGACCAAGAACATACATTTTATAAATACATATATATACACACAGATACATATACACACAAAATGTGAATCCAGTTCCTCCGTGCGCTACCTCAAAACGCAGCAGCCAGCTGGCAAGGATCACATGCAAGAAACCAAGAATGCTGCTAGTCCATCAAAACGAGATGACAGAATTAGTCTAGTACACCATTAATTTAGGAGCATCATTAAGTTACCAGTGTGGGGGGAAGAAGCATTTTTGACAGCTGGTTTCAGTTGCTGCCAGGGCCTTCGTGTTGCGCAGCGGTYGCAGGGGGAGGAAATAAGCTAGAATGGTAGTAAATGAAACCACCCGCCTGGCTTCTGGCTTCGCTTTATTGTGGTCACACATCCCTAAAACCCGGGATTCGGGGCTCTGTAATTACAGCATCCACATTGCACTGGAGGAGCAGGGGCAGCATTAAGARGAGGGTGCTCAAAGACGAGGTTCGCCCCTCACTTGGCGCGTGGGGCTGGGATGGTCCTGCACGGAGGCCTGGGATGAGACACGGGATGAGATGTGGGAGCTGTGGGACACAGCAGCGAGATGAGCTGGGGGCGTTTTATACAAATGCACCACACCAGCCAGGCCTTTGGTGGTGGAACATTTAATTGCACTAATTAATACTTCTGCAAAGGCTGCCCTGCCCCCAGTAACCATCTTACAGACTGGATATAACTCCTTGTTAAACGGCAGAGCCTGTTCCTTGGAAAACACTCCAATTCCCCGGCGCCGGGGTCTTTACAGCGCGAGCTGCCTCGCATTTCCACCCGCCTGCCGTGACGGAGCGTTCCTCCAAGCACCCCCGTCACGTTGCCGTCACCTCCCTCCCATCGCTCAGGCCAGCACTTACATTGCACCAAATGGCTCTGGAAAACCCCTCAAGCAACGAGGGGTTCCAACGCAGAAATATCTGGTATTTTGGAGCAATCCTAGCCCAGTTAAGGGCCTCCAGTACAGAGCTCAAGTCCCAGGAACATTTTTCCCGAGCGAGATGTTGGCAGGGTTGGCGAACAGTGACGGTGCCAAAGCCTCACCAAGTTGGAGTCAAGAAAAAAAAATAAATTAAAAAGACATGAAAAACATTTGTCTCTCTTTTCTCAAATCTTTCAGCTGTGGAATAAATACCSAAGTACAAACTGGATGCAGCTGGATGAGCCAGATAATGAGCAATTAAAAAGTATCTGTCTCAGTGTCTGGCAAGGGCCCGGTGTTCACCRGACAGCGCGCGGCCATGCCACGAACCACATCATCTCCTGGTCACTTCTCCGCTCAGTCTCTCATGGGCTGCGATTTGCAGCAGGGACTGGAGGCCTGGGGCCGCGTCCCCCTACACCTGCCCTGGCCCGGCGGTTCCTGCCTTGCTGCTGACGACGATTCAATACAGGGTTATCACAAAACCACGCTGGAGGCAGGGGAAGTAGAAGGAGGGGAAGGAGCATCACAGGAGGCGTTTCACT